TAATAAATTTATTAAGTATTATTATCTTAATAATATTACTCTCTTTCTACTATTACTAAATTTAATATATTATCTTTAGCTTTATAATATTAGTATTTTTAATCTATATAAATACTAGTATTAGGAAGTATTATATTAAGAGATTATAAAAAATACTTATAATTTTAATAAAACTAACTTCTTCTTTTATTTTTAAAAAATATATAATTATATATTTAAAAAATTAATTATTCTCTTAGTATAGTAGTAATATAGACTCTTTCTATATAACTTATTTATTATCTTAGATATACTATAGGACTCTTTATTATCTCTAATCTTAAATATTAATAAAGCCTTACTTCTAAGCTATATAGAAGTTAGAGATAAAGTTAGAGATAGAAATAAAGATTTTTTATTTAATAAAGGTTTTTTCTTATTAAAAAGTTCAGATTTAGAAGAATTATAGCTAAATATATAATAGCTAGCTATTATTATAATACTATAATAAATAGTATATTATAATTAGAAAGAGGTTTTAATACTAATCCTTAGTATCCCTATAATTAAGTAATATTATTAATATATTAAGCTTTAAATTAATCTCTTAATTAACTCAGACTAGCTATTAATATCTTTAGTATAATAAACCTATTAGAAGATCTATAAGATTAGCTGAGCTTTTAAGCTAAATAGTATTATAGTTTCTAATAAGCTTTACTATTATAAAGAGAAAATATTAACTAAGTAAAAGCTATATAATAAGAGATATATTATAATTAGATTTAAATCTATCTCTACTAGTAATACTTAAAGCTATATAGTAATAGATAATTATAATTACTATACTATATAGAAAGATAAGATATAATAAATTAAATAGAAAGCTATTTATAATAAAGAGGCTTTTCTATAGTATTAGCTTTATATTATTAGAGGCTTTATTTAAAAGGATATAATAAAGATAGATTATAAGGAATTAAAGATTATTAGTTCTAATAATATAAGCTTCTTAAAAGATAATCTTATCCTTTAATAATAGTTTTATAAGTAAGATAAATAAGTTTTTCTTAATTTAATAAAGTTAATAAATTAAGTATATACTTTAAATTATTAACTATATAAATAGCTAGATTTTTAACTATAGTAATTAGAGTTATTTATATAGCTAATAATTTATAATAAATCCTATATTATAACTATAATTAAACTAGTTATTATAAAGAAAAATAATTATAAAGTTAAGAAAAATATATTATTATAGGAAATAAATAGAATTAGTATATTTAGCTTTAAAGAAAGTAAATCTAAAGCTTTAGTATTAGAAGAGATATATATTAAAATATAGAATAACTAGTTAGCTTAGTATTATAATAAGGCGGGCTATATTATATAATATAGTAGAGTAGGTTATAATAAAAGAGGGATATTTATTTAAATATTAGTACCTATACTACCTCCTAATTTAGTAGATATACTAGGTTACTTTTTTTTTTATAAGTTACTATCTTTTTTACTAGTTACTAACCCCCCCTACTGAAGGTAGGGGGGCTAGCTAATTTAGGCCCCCCAAGTATTTCCACTCCATATCCAAATCACAAAAGCGTTTGAACTGCGAGTATAAGCTAATTCTCTTTTTTTCCAATATCCAAAATTATAGCCCCAGATCATTTAGGAAGTACAAGTGCAAATGCTTTATTATTCAAGGCTCTTGATACTGGGTGAGCCGGGGCCGAAGGTCCAGTCCAGCTGCCTACCTACCTTAAGTTAGCAAGGCTATAGGGTATCTAGTTAACCGGAACAATCTTGGGGAATGTCTCCCGAGACGCTTGACAACGTAGCACAAGCATTCAACACTCCGTCATTTGAAATTTATAATTAAATAATAATTCTATATAGTCAAATATGGGCGACGCATAGTTTGCAGCGACATGTGAGCTCTGTCTCTGCGGACATCTACCTTTTGCCATAACCAGGCCGGTATTTATTTAAATCTATTCATTGCGTCATCTTTTTACCTTAGTCATCATCCACAAAATCGCCTTGTTCCAAAACAGTCCACAACTCTTCAATCCAAGTCAAGATCTTGTCCTGATGAGACAAGTTCGTGTTCCATTCAAATTGGAGCACTAATTGACCGTCGGTGACCTGTGCTTGTACGCCAAAGAGAGCAAAGCGACGCACAGGCTGGCCGCGAGCGCCGAGGCCGCCATCTGAAGAATCTGCAAACGCGTGGAAGCGCTCGAGACGCGTCGTCTTGCCTGTGCGCCCAGAGTCGACTTCGGCATCTTTGACCGTCCCATTCACACCGGAACCGAGATAGTTGAGGAGCACTTCCATCTGGTAGTGGTGTTGGAAGGTAGCTGCACCTTGGGCGGTGTAATAACGGGAGACAAAGTACGGCAACCCATTGCCAGGGATAGATGCCCGAGTCGCCCCGGCGCGTTGCACAATCGTTGGCAGGTCCTCTCCCTTGTCGACAGCTACGTGTAGAGGGCTGATTGACGTGAGCCAACCCACTGTTCGCGACAGATCCACGTCGGAGCCTGGCGGCGCGTCTCGGCCATGGCCGTAACGATAGATGGTCGGTGGTGAGCGATTGGTAAAAACGCAGCGAAAGGAATACAGAAGAGCAGCCGTGACGAGATCCTGCAAATCAAAGCGATCGCCGAGAGCCATAAGCCTCGCAGTTGCAGTTGCGCCAAGTCGTATCTGTTCGCCGACCAAGTCCTGAAGGAGGTTTGGCTGCTCCTCAGCCTGCCAATAGCTGAAGTCGGCTTCGGGGACTTTGAAGGGGAGGACATTTGACGGATCCAAGGTCTTGGCCATTTCGGTTTGCATCTCGCACCAGGCTTGGAAGGGGTAGGACTCTGTCGCCTCCTGGTCGGCAAGTGCATTGTTGCTCAGAATGTTCTCGAGGTCGTCCAAAATAACATTCCATGAGATCATGTCCGTCACTAAATGGTGGATGGTGAGGAAGAGAATCTGATCCGACGATGTGTCGACGAGGTCTGCGGCTACCAACGGCCCCGAGTAGATGTCAAGGCTGGTGCGGCTCTGGTTCAGCGCAGATCTAGCTTCCTCGACCTGAGAGCATCGGTGGCCCTGCACACGGTAAGAGTCGGTGACGTTGTCTGTAATCTCTTGCACATGTCGCCGCGACGACCCCTGACCTTCAAGTCGGAACCGAGCGCGAAGCAACGGGTGTAACGAGACGATCCTTCGGATGCCTCTCTCGATTTCAGGCAGACTAGTTCGCGAGGTAGGTTGGAAAGGGAAAGCGTAGTGAAATTGCTGATTCGTGTTCCGGGAGACCTCATCGTCACCGAGCGCGAAATGTGCGTAGAATTGCTGCATTGGAGATAGTGGAAACGGTTTCCCAACCACGCTCCGGAGGGTGGCCACGGACCTGGCCGTAACGGGCGTTGCACTGGCCGCGAGCTCTTCGAGTGATTTGGCCTGCAGCACAGCAGGTACTGGTATGTAGAGGCGCGCGATACGAGCCAGGCCAGCCACCTGCATGGCGGACAGCGAATTGCCCCCCAGTCGAGCAAAAGAGCTATTGAGGGATATGCGGATGGGCGGCACGCCAACGACTTTGCTCCATATGGACCTGAGCGTTTCCTCGGCTGGGGTCCATGGTCTGGTAGTATTGCTCTGGTCCTGTCCTAGATTCGCAAGTGTGCTCAAGGTCTTTTCATCTACCGCGGCGAGCCACTTGACGAGAGCATCTCGCTCGACCTTGCCAGATGGCCGCAGCGGGACGGACGACAAGGGAACCCAGAGCGACGGAACCATGTAGGATGGAAGCTGGCTGGCAAGTGAAGACTCTGCACGGCGCAGCACAGTCACAGCGGTCTCTAGATCTGCACCAGAAAGCAGTGAAATGGAGCCTAGCTCATATACAGACGACGACGCCTGCTCAGACAGAGAAAAGAACCCGACGAGCTGATCCTTGCATCGACCATCGGTTGGGTACACCACAGCCGAGTTCGCGATCCCGTCGTGTGCTCCGAGGCGGTGCTCAATCTCGCCAAGCTCGACACGCTGGCCTCTGATCTTGACCTGCGTGTCCTTGCGGCCCACATAGGTGATGCTGCCGTCGCTCGTGTACCGAACGAGGTCGCCTGTGAGGTAGACCCGGTGACTGGGGCCGTCTGGACTCAGCTCTTCGAGCCATTTCGGGGGACTGATGAAGACCGCCGCGGTGCGGACTGGATCGTTGAGGTATCCCCGACCGACGATGGGTCCCTCGATGAGCAGCTCACCTATGGCGCCGAGCGGTGCCAACTTCTGCGGGTCTTGAGGATCGACGACCCAGTTTCGGGATGCCAACGACGTTCCGAGCTCGCTGGCTGAGTCTGGATGGGTAATCAGCCTGATGGTCGTCGATATGGCGCACTCGGCAGGGCCGTAGCCATTATACAGACGGACGGGGGAGGGCGAGGAGCGCCACATCTGAACATCAGAGGCCGAGGGGGCTTCTCCTGCAAGCACGAGGTCCCGGAGCGTGGGTACCTCGCGGATGGGGAGGGTCCTCGCCAGGGAGGGGGTCACGATGGCCCAGGTGACCTGGAGGTCGTTGATGGCCCGGGCGACGTGGCCGAGGCGAGCCTCGTCGCAAGGCACGCACACGCAGGCCCCGACGGTCAGCGTTGCCAGAATCTCCAGTAGCGCGTGGTCGAAGCTGTACGACGAGACTTGGAACACGCGGGTGCCTTGGTCGAGCCGCGAGATTTGTGTGTAGAAGGCCGCGGAGCTTAGGAAGTTGCGGTGCTCTACTATGCACCCCTTTGGAGTTCCAGTGCTTCCCGACGTGAACTGGACGTAGAGGCCGAGGTCAGGACGGATCAAGTTTGGCGGGGGAACAAGCGATCGGTCATTAAATTGGTTGATCGAGTGGTTGTCGACGGTGATGACGTGGATTTCATGATCCGAGGAGCGGAACAATTGGTCGTATGGCGGGACAGCGAGTATGACTCGAGGTTGACTCGCCTGGACGAGCTCTTGCCGGCGAGATGGAGGATGAGACGGGTCAAGGAAGATTACGGTACCGCCCGCTTTGGCGATGGCAACGAGGCCGGCGACTGTCCAGGGAGATTTCCCGGAACACCATGCCACCTTATCGTCTGGGAGCACACCCAGAGATAGTAGCCGGTGGGAGATGCCGTCGCTGATGCGGTCGAGTTGGGCATATGTCAGCCGCGTGCCGTCCTGAGAGTCGACGGCTAATGCGTCCGGTGACAGGGCGACCTGCTCTGCGAACACTTCTGGAACAGACCTCTCAACGGTGGGTATGGGACCATTGTACAGGCTTGCTAGCTCTTCTCTATCCGCCGGACTGAACATGTCCAGCTCGTGGACAAGCTCGTCAGAGGAGGCGCCACAGAGCTGCTGAATGATGTGATCAAACTGCTGGACAACGCGCGTCGTCTGATATAGCGGTATGACGTCGGGGTCATAAGACGTGTACATACGGACGGAGCCACGGTCAATGGTACATTCCATGGCGAGTGCATAGGAGAGGAACGAATCTGTGCCGTCTGTTAAACTGAGCTTTTGCAGGCCGAGGTGATCAGACGAGCCAGGGTCGGCGCGGTGTATCACAAGCAGATTCGATGCGTCGCATGATACCTGGCAGTCGGCGCTCAGACCACGGATTCGTTGAAGGCCAGCCTGCTCGTAGGGGATGAGGTCCAAGGCTTCTGATTGAATCGTTGATAAGAAATCGCCAACAGTGGCATCCGGCTTCCAGGAAAGGCGATATGGCAGGGTGGTTATGGTAGGGCCGAACATGTCGGCAACACCGGCGATGGGTACGTTTCGACCGGACTGGGTCATGTTGAAGACGACGTCCGGGCTACGGTCCTCCGCATAGGACGACAGAAGTAATGCCCAGGCAGCTCTGATTATCGTTGGGAGCGTAGCGCTAGAGGGCAGCTCGTGGATCAAGCTGGCAGTATGGGAGATGCTCTTTGAGGCGCGTGCTGCATGAGACGAGGGCAAGCTGGGCGGCGGCTTTGGGAAGACGGTAGGTGTCGCCCCGGCCAGATACTCACGCCAGAAGGCATCCACTGCCGGGGTGTTTGTGCGATGTAGGTGTGCGACAAAGGCACTGAAGGGAGGGTGGGAGGCCAATGGTCTTGTATGGTACAGCTCTTTCAACTCTTCCCAGAAGAGAGACATGGTCCAGGCATCGTAGGTAGAGTGGTGGGCTGTCCACAAGAAGTATGCCCAGCCTGAATCATCGTCGACGATTGTTGCCTTGACCAGTCTCTGTCCAAACTGTCCAACCTTGGCGTCCGCTACATTCTGCAGATGGGTCTCCAAGTCTGGGGCATGGATGCGTGACACTGGTGAAGCCTCCTCGACGACCACCTGACATGAACCCCATGAGGTGGTGGGAATAATGCGCGTTCGTAAGATTGGATGTCGCTGGATGAGTGACTCGACAGCACCGGCAAACCGATCGAGGTCGACATCGTGGGGAATCTGATACGCCTCTCTGTTGACGTAGGTGCTGTTTTGGTCCTGGCTCATGGTTACGGCCAACAGTCCTTCCTGCAGCGGAGTTGTCGGGTAAATGTCCTCGACAATGTCTTTTGTCAACCGCCACGTTTGCTCCAGCTCTGCCAGCAAGTCGTCCACATTGGCGCCTGCGGCTAGTAAAGAGAAGGGCTCGACACTAGAGCTGGACGCATCTTGGGCAGCCTCCTTGCTGTCAACGATGTCTGCTTGGATCACCTGGGCCATGTTGGACAACTTCGGATGGAGGAAGACATCGTTGACGGACAGGATGAGCCGTTCTTCACGGAGTGCCGCAGCCAGCCGGATTGCTGTCAAGGAATCACCGCCGAGCTGGATGAAGCTGTCGTCGGCGCCGATTTGCTCACGCGCGACACCCAAGATCTGGCTCCAAAGCTTTTGTAGAACATGTTCAGTCGCAGTTGATGGTGAACGGGGGTCAGCACGACGCCGCACAGTATAAATGACGCGTTGCCTCGGGCTCAGATCAGTTCCCACCTGGCGCAGCGCTTTGCGGTCTACCTTTCCATTCTGGTTGGTCGGAAGAAACGAGAGTGGAATGTATAGCAACGGTACCATGTGCGCTTCTAGTCGGACGAGAAGCTCGTCTCGGAGGTCTAGCAAGGTTGTCCGCGTGGTTGGCGGCAGCAGTAAAGGAGCAGCATCTTTGCTGGACCCGGAGCCACTTTGCTGGAAGTATACCACGAGCTCGTTCCGGCCATTCCCAGGGTTCTTGAGAGTGTCGACGATGATGTCGAGGGGCTCAGCAAGGGCACTGCGGACGTGATGCTCAATCTCTGCAATCTCTACACGCTGGCCGTTAATCTTGATCTGGGTGTCTTTGCGGCCCACGTAGACGAGCTCCCCATTGTCCTTGTAGCGAACAAGATCTCCCGTCTTGTAGAGGCGCCGACTTTCGAGGCCGTTCGGGTTCAGCCGTCGTGCCCAGGCAGGGTCCCTGATGAACACATCGGCCGTCTTTTGGGGCTCTTTGATGTAGCCCTCGGCAAGGATTGGGCCTTCAATCAGCAGCTCGCCCACTGCGCCGACCGCAGCCAGCTTGTCGTGGTTGTCTGCGCGAACGACCCACAGCGCACCTCCCGGCAACGAGCCTCCAATGTTGAGAGCATCGTCGCCTGCGGCGTATTGGTGCACAGAAGCAATCAGAGTTGCCTCGGCTGGGCCGTACGTGTTGACCAAGCGGAGATGCCTGGCCCACTGACTGACATCCCCTTCCTGGGGTGCCTCTCCGATGAAGTAGAGGGTTTCCAGGCCAGGCACATCTCGAGGCTTCAGCAGACGCGCCACGGTTGGTGTGAGGATGGCCATGTTGGCGCCCAGCGCCTGGATGGACGTGGCAAGGTTGGCCAGTCGATCCTCCTCCGAGGGAACGCAGACGCACCCGCCGAGGCTCAGCGTGGTGAATATCTCCATGGTGGAGATGTCAAAGGTGTAGGACGAGTAATGGAGCATCCGGCTCTTTGGACCCATCCCCATTGCATTTCCGTGGGATGTAAGGCTCGTGGATAGAGCGTCATGCGAGACTGCGACGCCCTTTGGCACACCCGTGCTGCCAGAGGTGAAGATGATGTACGCTCTCGCGGACGCCTGGAATCGAGGGAGCTGCAATGGAGGCCTAGCCGCAGTCATGTCGACTTCAGCAGGCACTCTGATCCTATCTAGTCTATTATTATGCGCCAAGTGAGCATCGCCATTTGTTGTGATTATGTGCTTGAGATCCGTAATCTGGATAATCTGGTTGATCCGCCCCTGGCTGTACTTGGAGTCCAGGAAGACAGACACGCCTCCGACCTGCATAATAGCCAGGAGGGCAGCCACCGACCATGATGAACGGGGGAGGGAGAACCCGACGGGCGTCCCGGGGACGACCCCACGCTCGATGAGTATACTGGATAACACGCTGGTACGCTCGTGTAGCTGTCGGTACGTCAAAGAGGCGTCCCAAGCGGCAACGGCTTGCCTGTCGGGGACCAGCTCCAGGTGTTGTCGAATGAGATCATGCACGCAGCGATCAACGGAAAGACGAGGCTGCTGGTTCCACCGACTCACCAGCGTCGCGTCGTAGTCACTGAAGAGTTCAATGTCGCCGACAGTCTGCTCTGCCGGTCCGCTCTCGAGCTGCTTGAAGACGGTGCACAACTGATGAAGAAGCCGACGGGCCTGGTCCGTCGACAGCGCTTCGTGGTCGTAGGCAGCCTGGAGATGCACTTGGCTCGGCGACATGGAGCATTCAAGGACCAATGGGTAGCCCGTGAAAGCGCGCGGCGCCTCGTGGACTTCCACGAGGCCGAGGGATGTCTCAAGGCGACTCACTGACTGGCCGGACTGGATGATCAGAAGGTTTTGGAAATTGCAAGCAGCCTTTGCATTCTCATTCAGGTCGCGAATCTGCAAAAGCCCGACGTGCTGATTGTCTATTAATTCTACAGCATCGGCGTACACCTGCTTCAGAAAAGTCGAGATAGGAGCCTCGCTGTTCCATACCACCCGGAAGGGGATTGTCGCAATCGTCGGCCCGACCACAGCCTCGACGCCCGGCATGTCAATGTCGCGTCCACTCAACGTCAGGCCAAAGACTACGTCGGGAGAGTCGGTATACTGCGATATCACCAGAGCCCAGGCTGCCTTTAATAGCGTAGCAGTGGTCGCATTCTGGCTTTCCCGCTCAGCTAGTGGCAAGCTGAGAGAGACTATACTAGGAGGAAGTGGTGCTTCTCTCACTGATGGCCGTGAAGGAAACGTAATCGCGGATGCACCTTCAAGGTAGCGAGTCCAGAAGCCACGGACCTTCTCTGGATCATATCCATGAACATGCTGGATGAAGCGGTGGAATGGAACTGACGGCGATGGTTGGCGCGCGTGATAGATTGAGGTCAGGCGGTCCAAGAGAAGTCCATCGGACCATCCGTCATAGAGCGAGTGATGCAGAGACCAAACGAAGTAGGTGTCGTCTTCTTCGCGGACAATGGCATACCTCGCCAATGGCTCGAGTTCTCGGAGCGGTCGAGCATCGTCCTCTGCGAAATACTGCTGCAGGCTTATAGATGACCCCCACGAAATATCTTCTCCCACAACAACCTGGTACGCCGCTAGCGAAGGGGTGAAGAATATTCGGGAACGTAGAATTTGCGTTTCCTTTACAACCTGTTGCCAAGCGCTCTGGAATCTGGCCAAGTCTAGCGTATGGGGCAGCCGATATGTTCGTCTTAGAGTGTATGACCCTGGGTCTCGCAGTGTAAGGGCGAACAACCCTTGCTGAAGAGGCGTGCAGGGGTAAATATCCTCTATTCGATCCTTGAGTCCTCCCAAGGACTGGACCTCGTTGAGCAGCACGTTAACGGATGCGATAGGTGCCAACAGGCTGAACGGCGAGTACCCAACTTGCTTCCCGACCCCCGCCAAGTCTTTATTGCTCAGTTCCAAGGCTTTGGCCATGTCTGAGAGTGTTGGGTGCTGGAAGATCAAACTCGCAGACAAAGAAAGACCAGCTTTGCGGATGGCTGCGGATAGGTGGATGGTGTGGACCGAGTCGCCGCCGAGATGGAAAAAGTGACCATCCTTCCCGATTAGAGATGTATCGATCCCAAGTACGTCTGCCCACAGCTTCTGGAGTTTTCTCTCCGATTCCGTGGTGGGAGGAGACCTTTGAGATCTAGCCAAGGAATATTGAAGCCACTGAGACTCTGTAATGGCCCCGGTCAAGGCTGCGAGCACCTTTCGATCTATCTTTCCGGCAGAACTGTACGGTAGCCTCGGGAGAGGAATATATACGGAAGGAATCATGTACGAAGGTAGCCCCTGGGCGAGCTCCTGCTTGAGAGTGGACGCGGAGTCTCGAAGGCTTTCGGTCATCGGTATAGGGCCGTCTTGCTCGTCGAAGCCATGGCTCGAGACGGTAAAGAAGGCAACTAGGGCCTTGTGCGATGTTGACCCAGGCACCGGGAGTACTTGAACAGAGCCCTTCTCTTTCGGATCCAGGTTTAAAGACAACTGGTGCTCAATTTCGCCAATCTCTAGACGTTGGCCGTGAAGCTTTATCTGTCCATCTTCACGCCCGACAAAGATCAACGACCCGTCTTCCTCGTATCTCAAAAGATCACCGGTCAGGTATAGCTGGCTTCCGACCGGTAGTGGCTCAGGAAGCCAGGGAGCAGACCTGAAGAATCTGGCTTCTGTTTGAGCAGGATTCTTCAAGTATCCCCTGGCGACGATACGTCCCTCAATGACGAGCTCGCCAACTGCACCAACCGGGACCAGGCGAGTGTGGTCGCCCGGGGTAACTAGCCAGGCACGACTGCCCAACTGCACGCCGATATGCTCCTTGTGAGACGACGGGGTGAGAGGCTTCGCGGTTGCCGAGCAGAATACGGAGCACTCTGACGGGCCGTATGAGTTGAAGAGCTCGACCTCGTCGGCCCACTTCGTGATGACCGTCTGCGTGAGCCACTCTCCTCCCGTCACCAGTGTCTTTAGAGACGGGACGACCTCGGGGTCGATCGTTGCGGCCACGGTCGGCGTGAGATCGGCCCAGGTGACTTGCAGCCGGTTCATTGCCCCGGCAAGGTCGTCGAAGCGGTCGTCCTCGGACACGACGCAGATACAACCGCCGTGCACCAGAGTAAAGCAGACCTCCTCTATGCTCACATCAAAGGTATATGACGCAAAGTGCAAGACACGCGAATCCGAGTTCATATTGATGGGACTCATGGAATGGGCGGCGGTAGTGCTCAGCGATCCATGCTCAAGGATAGAGCCCTTGGGCACGCCCGTACTGCCGGATGTGAAGATGACGAATGCCGGGTCAGACGGTTGGGATACATCTTCCACAGATCTGGGGGTCGATCCATTTGTACTTGATATTGCAGAAGGCACAACCTCGACTATAGTAGAGAAGACGGCGGACACGTTTGACCGAAGCTGGGGCAAGCAGAGGCAGATGGTGGCTTCTGTATCCGAGGCGATCGTCTCTAGCCTCTGCCGCGGCGCCTTGGGGTCAAGAGGCACCGCGGCCCCCCCAGCCTTGTGGATCGCCACGATCCCGACAATGGCCCAGAGAGATTTGGTGAACATGAAGGGGACCATGGCACCACGGGTCACGCCTCGATCCCTGAGCTGCGCAGCCAGGTTCGTGGCCGCCACGTCCAGCTCGGAGTAAGACAAGTCGCCGTCGAACGAGCTCACGGCGGGCGCTTCTGGCTGGCGCAAGGCCTGCTCTTTGAACCCATGGTGGAGGCACACCTCGTGAGCTGGAGGCGGGGAAGAGTTCCACTGGCGAATCTGAGCCAGACTTTTCGGCCCGGCCAGGTCGAGGCGCCGTAGTTGCTCTTGTGGGTGGGTGATGATTGAGAGAATGGCCTGCGAAAAGGTGTCTGCAATGCTGGCGGCCAGGCCTGGAGAGATTCTGTCCTGCCAATGCTCCAGGACAATGGACACATGGTCTCCGAGGTCCTCGACATCCACAGCGAGATCAAACTAAAGGCACGTCAGACTGCTGAAATGTTAATGGGGGCAGGTGTTGAGCTATTTACCTCGGTGGGATCCCTGGCTCGTTCACAGCGGAAGTGTATCAACCCTTCAGAGCCTGAGCTGGTATTAATTGCGCGCCGCTGAAAGGAGAAGACTGTATTGAAGCGGGCCTGATCGCCTAACCCCAGCTCATGAAGAATGTCCGCCAGCGAACTAAACTGATGTGGCAGATTTTGCACAAAATAGTCTTGTAGATCTTGTAAAATGTCGAGCGGAGAGGAAGAGGAGGGAACAGAGACGTGGCAGATCAAGAGATTGAGGAACGGGCCAACGACATCCTCGATTCCGTCGATCTGGGCATCTCTCCCGGACACTATATAACCAAAGCTGACCTTTTCCGCGTTGCAATAGACGCCAAGGACCAGGGTCCATGCCGTTTGAAGCAGAGTTGAGAGGGTCACTCCGCTCTGGATGCAGAACGTCCGGACTTGAGCGATTGATTTTGGTAGAACCACCTGGGTGAAATGAATGCTGTTCGTGGGCGCGGAAGACAGGAGAGAATTCGGCAGCAGGCAAGGTTCAATGTCAGCGAGGCGGGTTGTCCAATATTTGAGATGCAACTCTTTCGGCTGCCGAAGCAGGAAGTAGACGAAGTCGTGGTATTGCGACACAAGGGGGGAGGTCTGATGGTCGTGGTACGCGGCAGCAAGGTCGCGAAGCAATATGCCCCTGGAAGCCCCGTCGCTTATGGCATGGTTTATATCCAGGCGCACAAAGACGGCCCCAGAGCTCGTGGTGCATATGCTCAGGCGGTGCAAGGGCTGACCGGGGGAGAACTCCAGTCCCATAAGCTGGCCGAGAACAGCTGAAGGATCACCATCTCCTGATTCAAGTCGCACCACTTCTCCGGGAAGTTTGCGTAAGACGGCTTGGTCGTATATGCTTGATGGGAAGATGCTGTCCACAAAGACGGTCCGGAGAATCGCTTGTCGCTCGACAACTTGCTGCCAGGCGCGTTCCAGCTTCTCTGCGTCGATGGGCTCACCTGACGCAGGGGGCAGGACTTCAGCGATGGTAGCATACTCGTAGAATGCCGGGTTGCGAGCCTGCGAGATCAAAAGTCCAGTCTGGATGGGTGTGCTCGGGTAGAGGCCCTCGAGATCTGCTATGGTGACTGGTCCTTTGATGGAGGGAATGACCTCTTTCACAACCCGGTCGAGATCCGTGTAGCTTGCCTCGAGCAGGGGAAAGTCGGAACGAGACAGGACAGCACCACCGCTGGCGACAACTTGTCCAAGTATGGTGCGGTACTGGCGTATCCATTCTCCTAGGCGTTCCTGGTGCTTGGTTGCTCTTGGGTATGACAGCTGAATGCGCAGCTCTCCAGCATTGACGGATACTAGCACTTCAAACAGTGAAAACCGAAGCAAGTCAGGGTAGAGGCAGCCAGTGTCGGGCGCCGAGGCGCGGCGAAACAGGCCGCCGTCATTCTCCAATCCCTGATAACGGCCCAGGTAGTTGAAGACAATCTCCATGGGGAAATGGCCGCCAAAGCGAGCCTGCCCCTCTGGAGTCAAATAGCGGCTTGCAAAGTACGGCCATCCACCTTGTGGGAGGTAGTGCCGGGCGTCCTTGACGCGGCGTATCGTGTCTAGAGTGCTCTGGCCTGGCACTGCCACGAGCGGTGCCAAGATACTGAACCAGCCCACGGTCTTGGAAATGTCGTGTGCGTCTGTCAGGGCGTCCCGGCCATGGCCTTCGTTGAAGAGTGCTGGTGTGTCGCGATCGGGAAACACGTGGGCAAAGGCATGGAGAAGAGCCCCTAGCATCACATCGACTGGCTCGGTCCGGAGATGCGACTGCGATTCGTTGAGCAGCCGAGACGTCGTCGTCTCGTCAAGGACAACAGTCAGGCGCTCGACCTGGCCGTGCGAGTTTTGCCGTCCAGACAGGCCCCAGAATTCAATATCGGCATCTGGTGGATTGTATGGCAGTACCTTGTCTGTCTCGCGGAGATTCTCTGTGCTGTACTTTGCAAGTGACTGTGACCACTGGTGGAAAGGAAAGGGTGGGCTATCGACATTGGGGATGCCCAAGATGTGGTCTTCGATTTCCTTCAGAATGACTCGCCATGAAACGTGGTCGACAACGAGATGGTGGGCGCCCAGGAACAGAATGTCGTTTTCGCTGTCTGATCTGAACAAGCGAGCAACAGCCAGGGGGCCGTTGGCTATGTTAATTGAACCTATGGCAGACTCGAGAGAAGAGGCAATGTCCTCCTCGAGGGCATTGTCAACAACGCCGATGTTAATCGACCCAGCTACGTCGTCGCTTATGCGCTGCATCCATTCGCCATCGTCATCGTTGAATCGCGCCCGGAGCATTGGGTGCCGCTCAACAGCCGCATGCAAGGCAGCAGTAAGCTGCTCGCTACTCACTGCCTGACCGAGCTCGAGGTATTGACTCTGATAGTACCGCTCGTGCCCATCTGGGTCCGCGTCAAAATACAGCGCTTGGATGGGGGACAGACCAAACGGAACATTGCCCGGGTGCTCGTGCTTGACGGCCACCTCTGCGCCAAACACTCCCCGACGAGCGACGACGGCTGCGATGCGGGCAATGGTGCGGAACTGAAGAATGTCCTGGGCAGTCAAGTTGATCTTGTCCCGGCGGCCGCGCGAGGCTGCCTGGATGGCAGAGATAGAGTCGCCGCCCAGACTGTAAAACGGCCTCTCGCGCCCAATCTTCTCTACTGGAACGTGCAGGACCTCGCTCCAGATCTGGGCCAGCACTTGTTCCGTAGGGCTTGAGAACGTTGCTGCTGGCGGGTCGACGACTGCTTGATTCAGACGCTGGATCTCTTGGAACGTGTCCTGGCCAATTGTTTCTAGCCAGCTCTGCACACGCCTTGCATTGATCTTGCCTATCTTGACAAGGGGAAACGCTTTGATAGGTACTAATGAGGCAGGGACGTGATCGCTTTCCGCTTGCTCTAGAACCCGGATCAATTCTGAGCGGATGTCCTTGGCTTCGGGCGACTGATAAAGAGAGATTTCTGAAAGCTCAGCGTTGTTGGGTGGCTTGGTGGTGTATACCACTACAGTCTGTTGGCTTAGCAGACCTGTTGAGATGGCCCTGACTACCACCTGTTGTATGTTTGCTTGAGAGGAAAGGCGTTGCGCAAGGGAATCAAATTCCCCATCAGCCTTGCGGCCAAGATACTGGATTGAACCGTCCAAGTTGTACCTGACTAGGTCTCCCGTCTTGAAAAAGCGACGCCCGGCACCAGCCAAGTCATCAGAGAGTCGTCTGCTCCAGGCTGGGTTGTCAATAAACGATGTCGATGTATGACCGTGTGACACTTGCTCATATCCAAGACCCAACGTAGGACCTTCGATCAACAGTTCGCCAACCACACCAATCGGAGCGAGAAGATCAGGTGTTTTGATGTCAGTGACCCAGAGTTTAACATTCTTAAAAGGTATACCGATAGTCTTTGGGTTAGGGCCATCTGGCGAGTCGCCTGTAGACGATGCGTTCCCAGTCTCGGCAGTAGAGAATGACTGGATGAGATTTCTCTTGCTCCACGCAACAAAGACTTGGTTTGGAACGGGCTCCCCGACAAGAACCAGTGTGCTAAGAGAAGGGACGCGGTCAGGGTCGATGGAGCTCGCCAAAGTTGGGGTGAGGGCGGCCCAGTTCACACCAAGCTCGCTTGCGGCTTCGCTAACCAACGACAAGTCAGCCAAAGGCGGAACAACACACAACCGCGCTCCAATGGTCAGAGTAGCCCAGACCTCCATCATACCCTCGTGGCTCAGGTAAGGGGAGTGGTGTAGTACACGTGATGACCTGGTCAGCTTCAGTTCTGTACTGTAGGCAGCGACACGGCTGGCAACACTGCGATGGTCCAGGAGAACTGACTTGGGCTCACCGTCCGCCCCAGACGTGAGAACGACGGAGCATAAGTTCCCGAGGGTGACGATATCCCATCCATCGTGCGGATGCACGCCGGTGTCATAGGCAGACACTGCGTTTAGGGGGACGACGTCGGGTACGAGCGATTTGGCCAAACCTAGGAGCCCTTCAGTGGCAATGGCGATGTGGGATTTTGAGGCGGTAACAGCATCCGCCAAATGAGAAGCAGACCTTGAGTCATCGAGCACGTGTATCGCCCCTCCTGCCTTGAGGATGGCCAAGAGTCCGATGATGGCCCAGGTCGATCTCTGGGCCAAGACCAACACTCGCACATCGGGCCCAACGCCCTTGTCACGTAGTTTGTAGGACAGCGAAAGCGCGGCAGCATCCAGCTCTCCATACGACAAAGACCAGTGTTTGGCTTCAATGGCGATAGCTTGGGGGTCTTCAACGGCTCGCAACTTGACCAAAGTGTGTACACACTTGGTGGCTTCCGTTCTTCCGCCATCATTCCAATTAGCAATGTCCTTGTTGTCGGGCGCGCTTAGCAGGTCCAACTGGTCCAAGGGTGCGTCAAAGTTCTGGATAACAGATGACAGGATATCTCTAAATGTGTCAGCGACGCGGATGGCAAAGGGCCGATTGAGGGCCGATGTCCAGTACTTGAAGATGACGCTGACATCGGCCTCGGACACGTTCACGTTGAGTGTGATGTCGTACTCGGTCTTGCTCTGCCCGCCAATGCGCTCCAGGTGGAATTTGCGGCCCGAGTCTGCCTCCTTGTGTTGTTGGGAGCGCTGATATGACAAGACTGTATTGAACAACGGCCTCTTTGTCAGACCCAAGTCGTGGTGAATCTCGGCCAAGGGCGTGAACTGATGAGATAAGCTCTGCACGAAAGCCTTTTGAATTCCGATGGCGACCCCCGTTGGTGTTTTGGCCTGTGTGACCAGTGCGTGGCAGATGAGCATGTTCAGCACTGGACCGATGACATTCTCAATCTCGGGGATGGGGGCATCACGCCCAGAAGCCAGGAAGCCAAAGGACACAGACTCCTGGCCGGTATAGACGCGGAGAACCAGGGCCCACACCGTCAAGAACAGTGTCGACAGAGTGATTCCCGCACGAGAACACGCCGGCTGCAGCGATGCGAGAGAATGCTCAAGCTTGATCGCAAATATCTCGTGATTGGGCTCGCTGGTGCCGTCTTCCCCAGAGATGCTGCCTCCAGTAAGGGTCGGGAAGTGACATGGGACGGCTTGCGAGAGGTAATCTTTCCAGAAAGCCAAGGATAAGGATGCGTCTCGCTGCGCAAGGTAGTTAATCAAGGCGCTATAAGGAGTAGGCGAGTGTTTGAGCTCTCCGTCATACGCCGCGCTTAGCTCTCGGGCCAAGAGGGGCGCTGATTCCCCGTCAAAGATGGTATGGCTGATGGCAAACTTGAGGAACTGCCTTCCGTCGCTCGCCCGGACGAGTTTCAACTGATACTGAGGCCGCGAGGGATCATCGCTTTTCAATGAAGACACAACCGACAAGAGATCCTCGTCGTGTATGTCCGAGATGGACTCCTCTTCAATCAAGACGTGCCTCTCGCGAAACACGATCTGATCCATGTGTCCATTGGGTGCGGCAAGGAATTCAGTCCTCAAGGACGGGTGGCGACTGACAACCAACTGCCATGCCTTGGAAAGGCGCTCCAAGTCCAATAGTGCCGATGGATCGGAAGGTTTGACTTGCCACACGTAGCTCAGAATGTACTTCTCTCCCCGGTTTGTAGATTGCGACAGCAAGAGTCCTTCTTGCATTGGAGAGCAGCGATATACATCCTCAATAACCGAAACTTGGCCCACGCCGAATTCGGCCAGTGAGTCTTGCAGCCTGTCTGTCTGTTCCGCAGCGTGATGTGACAGAGGGTAGTTGAAGGCAGAGAATGGCACATTGGCAGAGATCGGCTGACCGTTGGTAGAAACAACGTCGCCGGTAATAGCAACGAGCGTCTCTTCAAACCGCCGCAGCCAGAAACTAACGCGATCACGGTGTTGAATATCGGGAGGGTAGAGAATAGAGAACTCGACCTGTGAGCAGACGACGGCGGCCGTGATCTCAAACACGGCCAAGAGGTTGACAAAGCTGCTGCGGAACTTTGTCTTGCTGGCTGCTAGGCCAAATGCCCGAGCATGGACCGGGTTACGTTGTGTTCGAGGCGGGCCATGCCGCAGCCAGGAATCGTCTCTTTCGAGAATCTGATATATGCCCTCGTAGTTGAACACGACCTCTAGCAGCTCATGGGTGGACGACCGCACAGCTTTGGGTGATAGCATCTTGGCTGTGTAATCCGCCCATCCCTTGTCAGGCAAGTCCTTTCTAAGACTGTGAATGGCCTGAGCCATCGTCGCCATATCCTGCTCTCGTGTGATTCTCCCAACAGGTATGGGTGCCATGGTTGTGAACCAACCGACGGTGCGGGATAAGTCTACATGGTCGCTCCACGGCTGGCGTCCGTGACCTTCCTGGAGGACTGTCGGGATGACATGATCAGGAAACACCTCGGCAAACGACTTGGCCAACGCCGCGATGAAAATGTCAATCGGCTCGACACTCAGAGCCTCGGGAATTGGTCCTATGAGAAGCTGGCTTACGTGTCGACCCAACCGAAAGCCTCCCTCGACGGCATCGCCGTATGTATGATATGGCGCAGAGAGGCCCCAGAAGGACGTGTCTGGAGGGTCCAGAGCCCAAGGGAGGGTGGTCGCAGGATCGAGCGTCTGAGCCTTGTCGTACTGCAGCCGACACCATTCAGAGAATGGGTAAGAAGGCGGATGGTCGATGTGGCCGAGGCGTAGCAGTTCCTCCAGCTCTTGGAATAACACTCTCCACGACACCAGGTCTACTGCGAGCTGGTGTGCTAGAAGGTAGACAAATTGGCCCTGCCCCTTGACATTGAAAAAGTCGACGCTAAACACGGGACCTGCTTCGATATCGAGGCCAACCTGAGCCTTTTGGACAGCTGCATCAAGGCGCTCTAAGTTTCGTATGCTGTGAGACCGCAACTCAAAGTCATCTTCGTCTTGGCTGACAATAAGCTGCTTCCAGGATCCGTCCGGCTCTTGCTTGAAACGAGCTCGCAGCATCTCGTGCCGATGAATCAGTGATTCAACGGCATCCGTCAACGCCTCGACGCTCACGTTTTGAGGCAGAGTGAGAAGAAACCCTTGATTAAAGGATGAGTCACCCTCTGGCGCCAGGCGAAAGTGCTGCTCTTGCATGGGCGTGAGGCCAAACTGAACATTCACGTCCTTGGCCACTGATGCTGCCGGCTGGGAATTGTGACCTGAGCGGGACTTGGCGGCTAGGCCGACGATTCCATCTGCCGAGAGGATGTCCTCGACGGTGATTATGATGCCTTTTACTCGGGATTCTCCCATGACCTGCATGGCCGAGATTGAGTCACCCCCAGCGCTGATGAATGATTGGTGTAGACTGACACGGTCGACGGGCACGTTGAGAACGTGAGCCCAGATCTGCCGCAGCGCAGCCTCTCGTTCACTCAGCTGCCCATTCTCAACCACCTTGTAGGATTCAGTAGCTAACTTTGAGTCAAAAGTAATGTGCCTGATATCATCTTCCATATCCTCGATCCATCTAGTGATCTGGTTACGATCAACCTTGGCCGACGGCGTCAGCGGCAGAGACTCCACCACAAACCACGCGGCAGGTATCATGTACGAGGGCAGGCTCTTACCAAGGATTGCATGCAGTGTTTCCACTGCATTTGAAACGGCTGCTTGGTGTTCCTGTCCGACTAGCTGAAGGCGGCCGTCTTTCGGTGCCGCCTGGGCGAGCTGAACCAGAGACACCACGGCGACAAGTCGCTCCGCCCAGTGGCCCTTCTTTGGCAAAAAGACTGCCCCTTGCTTGACGGACGGCGCAGAGGTCAGATGATGTTCGATGTCGCCCAGTTCCGTTCTTTGTCCGCGTATCTTGACCTGGTGGTCCTTGCGACCGACAAAGCGCATGGTGCCATCGCTGGCATACCGGACCAGATCGCCGGTCTTGTAGAAGCGCCTCGGAGGTGAGGTGTCTGCCTTGGCCCATGCGGGATTCTCAATAAAGGCAGCGCCAGTGCGCGCAGGGTCGCCGAGGTAGCCTCGCGCGAGTATCGGCCCTTCAACCAGCAGTTCGCCCACTGCTCCGATGGGACTGAGAGAATCATGGTTGTGCGGGTTGGCAATCCAGAGTACGGCACTGGGAAGAGCGTACCCGATATTGGCAGGGTCTATCCTGCCCTCTGGCTGGGAACCGTTGACAGACGATCCTGGAAACGTGCTGAGCTCGCTGACGGCACAGCAGATGGAGCATTCCGCAGGCCCGTACGAGTTCAGCAGTCGGACTGAAGAGGCCCACGTGTCGACGTTGCTCTGCGTGATAGCCTCACCGCCGAGGACAAGAGTCTGGAGAGTCGGCACTTGGTCCGGCGTCAGCAGCCTCGCCACCGTCGGGGTAAGGAATGTCCAGTTGACTCCCATGCGGTTGATGGAGCCGGCAATGTCGTTGAGGCGCTCCTCGTCCGACGGGACGCACACGCATCCGCCGTGCATCAGCGTCGTCCAGATGTCTTGGTTGCTCACGTCGAAAGTGTAGGCGGCAAACTGCAGCACGCGCGACTTTTTGTCCAGGCCCATGAACTTTCCGTGGGCGAATGCGCTTGTGCACATGCTCTGGTGGGAGAGGATGATCCCCTTTGACTTTCCAGTGCTTCCCGAGGTGAAGACTACGAATGCCGCGGTGGATGGCTTGCCTGGTGACGGCCGGCTCTTCTGCCCAGCTCCGCCATCGTCATCTTTCGCTGCCAGTCGGAACCAGTCATCGATAGCGATAATGGGCTCAGACACGGTTCCCTCCAGTGACTTTTGGACTACACGGCTGCTCACGATAAGCTTCGCCTCCGTCTGGGACAATATCTGTTGGAGTCGCTCAGGCGGGTAGGACGGATCCAAGGCAGCCGCGGCCCCTCCCGCCTTCAATATGGCCAGGACGGCGACGATGGTCCACGAAGACTTGGTGAAGCAGAACGGAATAATAGTCTCAGACTGGACGCCGAGCGAGACGAGGTGGCGAGCAAAGCGTTCTGCTGCGTCGTTGAGCTGCGCAAAAGTGTAGTTCCCATCAAGAGCGTGGATGGCAGGCGCATCAGGCTGCTCCAACACTCGCTGGTAGACGATCTGATCCACCGAGACAGGCCACAGATCTGGCTGGTGGACGTTCCATTGCTGCAGTTGCTTCATTCCCTGATCGCCCAGGAGGGTGACATGCCCAATCGTTGTGGTTTCATGACTGCCGATGATGCTGGTGAGTGCCTGCTCCAAGGCTTGCGTTACGTTGGCTGCATCCAACTCTCCCAAGGAAGCAGTGTCGTATCGTACCTCCAACCAAGGCACGTAGAGCTGGATTGCATACTACCGAAAACGTTAATTCTAGCCACCATCATGATGGCCCGTGCACTTACACTGGAGTTGTCCTTAGATCCGGCTTGTAGTTGTGTAGTCTTTGAGCTGCCACGATCACTTTCGTCGTACCATATGCCCGTGTTAATGGAAGACTGCAGTAGACTAGATAATGGCTGCACGTCTACTTCTTGGGCATCTGAGTCGCCCTTGCTACCGGCGATATTCCGGATGAGTCGCACCAGTGGTGTAGTTGTGTCTGTCCGTACTTGGACAAGGAGAGGCTCTGTTGTTGATGCGTCCTGGAGCGCAAAAGCCACACTCTCAGCCGCGCTATACTCACGGAGAACCAAAGCCCATGCAGTGGCCACCACGTTATGAAGCGGCACAGACTTTTGCTGACAGAATGATCCCAGCTCTGAAATCAGTCCATGTCCGAAAGGGGTCGTTTGATAGCCAGGAGCACTGTATCCTGCCAACGTCGGGAAAATACATGGATCAACCGTGGCTGTGTGGTCCGCCATTTTCGCATATACGTGCTTACGTAGTCTTCTGTTTGCGTACCATCAACATGTGGTTCAAATCCCTATACTATTTATACAGAAAGCTGGCGACTCGCTGGCTGTCAAAGACCATCATGCTGAGCAGCAGCTCGCCATCTGATACAGAAATGGCGGCACAATGTCTACCGAGGGTCTGCAGGGGAACCCAGCCAAGCATTGCGAGCAACTGCCCAGCGTTGGAGGTATAGTATTTCAGGTGTAGTTCCAGCTGTGGCAAAGCGGATATGGGTAGACTACAGATCGATATTACCCGCTGACAGGTGAGCTGTAAGGTATATTTCAAACCTATTACATTTAGGCCTGTAATATCAATTTTTTCTCGGTGAGATACGCCGAAATGAAACCAGATGTTCAAGCTCTGAGAAGCGGTTGCGCCTTTCCAAGGCATCATCTTGAAGATCTTGAGCCCTAACTGTTATCAGGCTCCGCGAGATCACAAGGCCCGGTGAAACCCATGCTCTTGAGAAGGCTTACAGGATCACATAGATGACGTGCCATTTTAATTTGTCAGATGTATCGGATATATTGGTTATAGTTCTAGTACTTGTCATCCTGTGGCTGGATGTAACGCAAATCCATGTGCGGTAGGATTAGTATCCCAGAAGCCATTACTTGACCCTATAACAACCAAAGGAACCAGTAACGAATGCCAAATGACCCTTGCCTTGTTGTTAATCAAATAACGTTACAACAAACGTAAGAAGAATCGACCAAACAGGGATGTTGTGGGGGTTCATACATGTTACCATTTAGCCGGCTGTCAACTGGATAGGGTACGTTTAGTAGTTTGATATGGACTGCAGCTGACAGAGACATCCGCTCTCACTTTGAGCCTTGTACACATGTATAGGCCTCCCCGGCATAACCGTATTCTCTTCAACCAAAGACCCTTCACGTAATTGCAGGGGTGCTATGGCGAAAGGAGGAAACAGATCTTATGCGTCATATTGTCACCTTCGAGGAGCGGACAATGGATCCCGTCATGCTGCGGTTACTAGAGTTTCCATTGTGCATAAGTACGCCGGTGTGATTGACTTTAAGAACTGCCCGAGGATTATCAAAGTCCTGGGTTAGCCAAGGAAGTCAACAAAATTAGTAATCTCACAAACTCCATAACCCCCCGGCACTATGCGCATCGGCCTTGTCCAGTTCTCGCCCGTTGCGGGGAAGACGGTCCGGAACATAAAGCAGGTGGACAGAATTCTCCGCGAGTCGGCAGTGGGCCAATTAGACATGCTGGTACTGCCTGAGATGGCCTTTTCCGGTTCGTCACCACCGCTGGCATACTGATTTACGTTGGAGGAGTAACCTTGTTCGGTTCTGACAAGATATCCGCAATCACAGGGTACTACTTTGCGTCGGCGCAGGACATTGAGCCCTACCTTGAGCCCACGTCCAGCGGGCACTCGACTCTCTGGGCTCAGCGTGTTGCCAAGCAACTGCGCTGCTTCGTGACTGTCGGGTACCCCGAAAGGACAACGACGAGTCCCGTGCGGCGGTACAGCTCATGCGTGGTCGTGTCTGACACTGGTGAGGTGGTGGCCAACTACCGCAAGAGTAGCCTCTACTTCCAGGACGAGACATGGGCAGAGGAGGGAGAGGGCTTCTTTGCGGGGGAGATGCAGAAGCTCGGCCAGGTTGCCATTGGCATCTGTGAGTTTTGAGATCCACCACACCAACCGACAATCGTGAAACAAAGTAACCAATCTGACACTCAAAAAACAAAAGGCATGGATCTGAACCCCTACCAGTTCCGCGCAGCTTGGAGCGAGTTCGAGTTTGCACGCCATGTGGTGCGTCACAAGGCACGACTGGTCTTGATGCCGCTGGCATGGGTGACGGTCCAGGACCCAGCGGAGTTCGACAAGGGGGCCGGGGACCCAGACAAGGCCACCCTGGACTACTGGATCCGGCGGTTCGAGCCGGTCGCGGGTGGCAACGGTATCCATGGCGGTGAGGAGACGGTCGTCGTGCTGGCGAATCGGTGCGGTCGAGAGGCGGACAACCTCTACGCTGGCACGAGCTGCGTGCTTGGCTTTGGCGGGGGCGAGCCGCACATCTACGCGGTGGCCAGCCGTAGCTCGGTGGGACTCGTCGTTGCGGATACTTCTCCTTGAGGGTGTAGATCAAAGCTTGCCCTGGACTAGGCTGTGCCGCAGGCAGCTGACACCTGCTGAAGAATCTTTGACAGATCGGTGCTCTGTCAGTAGTAGATCTCGGAATAAGTAGCCAAGTGGGTAGCGTATGAAAATACATAGACTCTCTTCCTTAGCAGGACTTGCTCTTGTATTATTATATATGGCTACTTGGAACCAACGTCAATTGATGGCAAGATGAAACTTCTAGACAGTAGGCAGTTAAACTTGACTTACTAGTGTATAGTCTCATTTTATCGTTAGCCAGACTATTTTATTTTGAGTTAATTGTATGAAAAGTGACATTGCTTGGGTGTGCTATTTCCCATCCCACCCTCTTGGAAGCTATGTGCATATGCTCCTCACATGACCAAACCCCCAAAGTTACATACTGCTTGCTCTGATGTACTGGAGATGAATCTCGATGTTAACAGTTCTGCTTGGCGCCTTCGGCCAAACCTGTTTTCAGTTGTATAAATCCTTTCTGCAGGCAGTCAGTGTTACATAGCACGCCATGAAGCCCTGGGCCTCCGCAATGTCGTGATAATCGCTATACGCCTTTGTAGACTCTCGGCTCAAATGACGCGTTTGAACTTCGCTGACGTGGCATTTTGAGACTGCTCGCCTACGCCAATGCGTTATGCACGTGAGGCTTCAGGACGACTACAGATTGGTTTCGAGAGTTCTACTTGTGTGGAGCTTGCACTCGCTGCAGCCTCAGCGCTTATGCAGCATGTAGTACTTTGGGATATGGCAACAGTTGTGTACGGTTTCATCATAAGACCGAGGGATACCCCAAACTATCACGGATTTGGACAAATACATTGCACTCTATGTAAGGATCTGGAGCACTCCGGGGAGATATTCAAGCTCGGTGCCGGTGGTACAAAGGCAAAGTTACGACTCTTGATGGGGACAAGGGTTTCGGCATCGGGCTATTTTACCTGTTTTAAAAACCCACCACGAATGCAAGGGGAGGGGAGGGTGCATTGCTGTACATCACAGGAGATGGATGACACAAGTCACGTGTTGACATATTGCATCATTTCTCTCCTCAAAGTCGTATTCGAAAAGGAGGTGTGAACCTTGTTTTGACCCATGGCTATGTCTGCGGTGGCTGACAGCGCCTATCGAGGCCGGAAAAGGATGCTGACTCTACTGAGCACATTTCTCGAGCAAGAGATGCTAACTTGACCACTTGACTAGAGCTCGCTCCGGTATTAAGCCAGCGCGAGATACAGGTGGCACATCACTCAGTTGGGTTCCAGGTCGTATCATCAAAATGTCAGCTACATGTTGGTCGCGAAATGACGATACCTTGGGCCCTCAGGTCCTGGGATGCCGCGGAAACTTCGACTTTACAGTTTACTTTGAGGAAGTCGTGTTCATCATTGCTCCCGCGTCGTTGGCCATTCTCTGCTTGCTGTTGCGATTTCGACAGCTGCGGTCACAGCCGGTACTGGTGCACGCTGGGATTATATTAACGCTGAAAACTGTAAGCTGACTTCGATACCACCCTGATAATAGATATTCTGATCATTTTCAGTGCACTTGGGTGTGTCTCAGTGCCTTGCAGGTTGCTCTGCTTGTACTCTGGGCAGTCACTGGCTCCCCCAAAACTCCCGCAAGCATACCAGCTGCAGCATTAGGCCTCCTAGTAGCATTGGGCGGTACCGTACTATCCCCATTGGAGCACCGCTCGTCCATCAGGCCATCTGCCGTCCTCTCAGCCTACCTGTTTATTACCATCATCTTGGATATAGCGGTGACACGAACTCTCTGGCTAGCTCTTACGAACAATACCATTCCCAGCAATTTTACGGCCCGTTTAGTGTTCAAGATTGCTATACTTGTCTTGGAGTCATTGACCAAAGTAGGGCTTTTGTATGACGAGAATGAACATCCCACCGCCGAGGATTCGAGCAGCATCTTTGGCCGCCTTCTGTTCCTTTGGCTTAACCCACTACTTTGGAAGGGAAATCGGCACGACTTATCTATAGAGGACTTGCCACAAATTGGTAGTGGCCTATCGCGGGCGGAGAGGTTCCCTGAAACATGGAAACAAGGTGCGCCGCCCCTTGTGTCGTGACGATATCCTCACCACAGCAACAGATGCATTTGCTGACATGTGCCAATAGATTCTCACAAGTCTCACCGTCATAGGCTTTTGCTTGTCCTCATCGAGGACTTAAAATGGCCACTTCTAGCGGGAGTGATTCCCCGTCTTGGCGTGATAGGGTTCAAGTACGTCCAGCCGTTCATGATAAGACGAATGGTGCGCTGGCTGGACGAGCCCCAGTCGGCAGACTCTCAGAATGAGGGATACGGCCTCATTGCGGCCTTTGGCCTTGTATTCATAGGATTGGCTGTACGTTAACTCCCAAACCAAGCTCGGTTACTGGTAATCTTTGCTGACAGACTTACAGCTCTGCAATTCGCGATATCAGCATCTGTCATACCGATTGGTCGTGATGATTCGCACCCGCATGATCTCCGTCATTTACCAAAAGACTTTTACCATGGATCTCCTGCAAGGTGAGAGTCGGGCTCCAATAACTCTTATGAGTACAGACGTGGAGCGCATATCTCATGGGCTCGGCTTTCTCCACGACGTCTGGGGTTCCATCCTTGAAGTTGCAATTGCAATATGGCTTCTCTGGCGGGAGCTCCGCGTCTACGCAGCCGCCACGCTCATCATCGCGTCAACCTGCGTCGTCACCGCGTTGACGGTGGGCAAGCTCACCGGTCGCCGCCAGCAGGCCTGGATCGAGGCTGTGCAGAGGCGTATCGCCGTCACCTCAAGCGCCCTCCCCCACATCAAGGACATCAAGTCGGCCGGGATGATAGACACCATAACGTCCGTGCTGGAAAAGTTCCGCCTGGACGAGGTGGAAGCGTCCAAGAGGTGGCGGCGGCTGACGGTGCTCATGGTAGCTGTTGGGTTCTACAACAGCGCGCTGGCCCCCGTCATCTCCTTCACGTCCTACGTCCTGACCTCTCCCGAGGCAGACGGAGTGCTCACCCTGGATAGGGCAATGACGGTACTCACCATCTTCGCGCTCTTTGGTGCTCCGCTCAACATGCTCTCAGAGTCGGCGAGTGGCCTCTTTAGCGGGATCGCTTGTATCGAGCGCATCCGCCGATTCCTTGTTTCGCCAGATCATCCTCAGAGAAAAGGAATACTCGTCGATGACGAAATCCTGGCAATAGAGGGAAAGGGGGAGCTGACCTCGGAGAAGTTTACGGCGGCGATAGCACTGACAGACGCCACCTTTGGCTGGAGTACAGAGAGCGATTCTGGCCCAAGTGAATTAACTCTGTCGATCGAGAAGGCGACGGTGACTGTCCTGGCTGGCCCCGTGGGCTGCGGCAAGTCAACGCTGCTGCACGGTCTGCTGTCTGAGAACTACCTCTTGAAGGGCGATGTGGTCGTCAACCCATCCAGAATCGCCTACTGCAGCCAGACCCCTTGGGTCACAAACAGTACGCTCCGTGAGAACATCATTGGCTGCACTCACTTCGACGAGTTTCGTTACCAGGAGGTGATAAGATGCTGCGGCCTCGTCCAGGACATTGCTGTCTTGGCGAATGGGGATCAGACAAAGCTTGGCAGCGGCGGAGCAGCCATCAGTGGCGGCCAAAAGCAGCGAGTGGTATGTTACAGTTTTGCACATGGGTTTGAGTCCTTTGATTCTGGCTTTGGCTGACTAGCTTGCTTCTCCTTCAGTCACTTGCCCGGGCGGCCTATTCGTCGGCCGAGATACTCCTGCTCGACGACGTGCTCAGCGGGCTGGACTCGATCACGGCCCAGCACGTTGTGCACCATCTACTCGGCCCAGATGGCTTGCTGCGCCGGCAAAGAAGAACAGTAGTGCTTGCCAGCTCCTCTCGTGAGTCTTTTATCAGACACTCAAGGGATTTTGATTACTGACGTTGGTAGGAACCGGCCTCGGTGTTGCAGACAAAGTCATATGGCTGGATCGGACTGGTCGTATTTCCAACCAGGATACGGTGGTCGACTTGCCGATACAATCCAGCTCTTCGGTAGCTCCTGATCCTCCTGGTAAAAGTGGGGAGGAAACGACCAACGCTGAAGCTTCTTCTGCAGATGAGCGTCCGCCGACACGGCTGGAACAGGATCTGAAGCAGCGAAAGGGTGACTGGCGAGTGCTCCAGTATTACATCCTGCGCATGGGAACCACGGGAATGGTTCTCTATGGTTTTTTGATGGTGATCTTCACCTTCTTCTACGGTTTTGCTCGTAAGTGTTGCCCTTTCATCCCACGCTCGAAAAACACAACTGAGTCCAACTAGCTGTCTGGGTTGAGTTATGGGCCCAGTCCTCGGGCAAGAGGCTGAACATGTATGTTGGAATCTACTACATGGTCGCCGCGTCCCAGATCCTATTCATCGGAGTTGCTGCTGGGTAAGACAAACCACAAACGAACCTGTCTGAATTCTTTCTGAACCCTCTAGGTATCTTCTCCTGGTACTTCTACCTCATGCTTCTGTAAATTTTCATAACATTATCTTAAAGGCTACAACACAGTATGTTGGTAATATCCTCACCAATGTCTGTTACGACGTCTAACCATCCACAGTGCACCACTCAGCTTTCTCACAAGTGTCGATGTTGGGATCACAACAAACAGGTAGGCTACTTTCTTTCGCTTCAATATATTGGTCATGGCTAAACTCTCGAGTTACAGATTCAGCCAAGATCTTCAACTGATAGACACTGAGCTCCCAATCTCTCTGTTCAACACAACGCTGGCACTGGGTTACTGTATCCTGCTTCTTGTTATTATATGCATCTCCGGCAGATACATTGCGGCGACCCTGCCATTCTTCCTAGGCATTATGTTTTACGTGCAGCGATCCTATCTGCACTCCTCCCGCCAAATCCGCCTCCTTGATCTTGCGGCCAAGGCGCCCCTCTTCTCTCATTTTTCGGATACATTGGATGGTCTCGTCACTCTGAGGGCGCTCGGGTGGCAGACATCATACGAGGAGCGCCTTCAAGATCTGCTTACTACTTCGCAGAGACCCTTTTACGCGCTCTACTGCGTCCAAAGATGGCTCAATCTCGTCATCGACCTGATCATCGCTGCAGTGGCCATTATCTTCTCCGGTATTGCAGTGGCGCTGCACGGCTCGCTCAGTACAGGCCTTGTAGGGCTCGCACTGATCAATATCATCACTTTCAATGGCAATATAAGGGTTTTGGTGGTTCAGTACACCAACCTGGAGACGTCTATCGCCGCTGTAGCTAGGATACGAGCATACCAGAAAGTCACTCCTTCAGAAGTCCGCCCTGGGGAAGAACAAGAAGTACCCCATGACTGGCCGCGTCAAGGAAGGCTGGAGATTATCCAGGCGTCGGCATCGTATCTGTAAGCGTAAGGTAACCCATCCTTGAGATGTCAATACTGACTGCAATCTGTAGCGATCTGGACTATCTTGTCCTCAAGAACGTGTCTCTTACTATTCCGGCGGGAAGTAAAGTCGGCATATGCGGGCGGAGTGGCAGGTATGTGGTACCCAGCTCGGAACATAAGTCGAGACTTTGCTGACTTAGACAGCGGCAAATCGTCGCTTTTCGCCGTCCTCCTCCGCATGCTCAACTTACAAGGTGGATCGGTGCTCATAGATGGCATAGATACTGCGGACGTGCCTCGGAAAAAAGTGCGGGAGCGGCTCAACGCCCTTCCCCAGCAACCTTACTTCATCCCCAACACCTCTGCGAGGACATGCATCGACCCATTCTCCCAGCTGGAAGATGGGGAGGTGGTGGGTATATTGAAGGAGGTCCAGCTGTGGGACCATCTTGGTGGTACTAATGCTGCGCTGGATCTCGTTGTCAGCGACAGCCTCCTCTCACACGGTCAACGGCAGCTTCTTTCTTTAGGGCGCGCCATGGCCCGTCGCGCGTCGACGGGCAAAATTCTGCTGCTGGACGAGGCGACGAGCCAGCTGGACCCTGACACCGAAGATATTGTGCGCCAGGTGATCCGTCGGTGCTTCTTGGACCACACGGTCATTGCTATAGCTCATCGTCTAGACACTATAGTAGATTACGACCTCGTAGCAGTACTTGATCAAGGCAATGTGATTGAGGTTGGCGCCCCAAGCGACCTGTTGGTACGGCCGTCCTCCGCCTTTAGGCAGCTCTACGATAGCCAGAAAGGAGGTAGCTGATGGATTTACTTAATATATTTTTATAAAGGTCCGGTAGCACAGTGGTCAAGTATCTCGGCTAATCGGAAGATTATAATAAGCTAAGATAAAAGAGGAAATACTGAAGCTATTATATAACTTAAAGATTATTAGTTTAAACTTAGTCTAGATTAATAATAATAAAAGTTAATCTTTAGTACTATATTAATTTAAAATATATCTATTATAGAAATTTATTTAATATTATAAATTTTACCCTAACTATATATATTATATATAGTATCTATAATTTCTTATCTAATTACTAAGAATAATTAATAAAATTATAATAATTATAATACTTATTATAATTATATTACTTATATATAGTATATATATATACTTATTTTATTAGTTAGAATACTCTTTTAAATAGTTATTAATATAATTATCTATATATTTATTACTACTAGTTCTATAATATTTATATATTAATAATAACTTATATTATATAGTCTATAATAATCTAATTATATTA